AAAAAAAAAAAAAAAAAAAAAAAAGAGCAGGTTCGACCTTCGGGACATCAGTTAAAATTGGACCCATCAAGAGAAAGAAGAAGATTAGCAAATTGCCCCTGCGCATGGAGGACAGGCATAACTCGAGAAATGGTCCAATTTTTTTACCTGGTTGATCCTGCCAGTACTCATATGCTTGTCTCAAAGACTAAGCCACGCACGTCTAAGTGTAGTTAAAAAAAAAACAAAGAAACATAAAAAAAAAGAGCAGGTTCGGCCTGAATTGCGGCAATTGCCACATTGCAAACATTTCCTAGTCGCAGTTCCCCAATAAAGTCATCTGCCCGTTGTGTCCGGGCAAGGAAAAAAAACAAAACAAAAAAACAAAACAAAAAAAAACTACCCTTTGGCCCGATACTCCAAACGCAGAGTGAAGTGAGGACCTGTTTAAATTGGAATCCGAGTCCGAACCCTTGTATTCCTCTCAGTGATCTATGAAGAGAGMGAGGCCTGTTTTTTTTTTGTTTTTTTTTTTTTAGCCTTGAGTTTTGCTCCCCCAATAGCCAGCTTCTGTTTCCGACTGGACCAGGACCGCGGGACCAGCAGACCTGGGCAGTCCAGTGTACATGTTTTTTTATTATTATTATTAATCAATCAATGAATCAATGAATCAATGAATCAATGAATCAATCAATCAAATCAATCAATCAATCAAAAAAAAAAATCAATCAATCAATCAATCAATCAATCAATCGATCAAGCAATTAATCGATCAATCAATCAATCGATCAATCAATCAATCGATCAATTAATCGATCAATGAATGAATGAATGAATGAATGAATGAATGAATGAATGAATGAATGAACAATCAATCAATCAATCAATAACGGGCCCAGGCGTATGACCCTGACAGCAGTTTGGACAATGCATCTGACTGCAATTACGGTCCGAGCTGTGAGTGCAAATCCTCTGTAATTCTTTGTAGACGATGATGCGCTAGTGTGAGTATGCCGTGAGAGACAGTGGGAGTCGTGTTTTATAGCTTTTATAATATAAGTTTTATTAGAGTTAATTAATTTCCAATTACTATTTTTCTTGAGAGTGGGGTTGTCATTTCTTCCTTTTTTTTTTTTTTTTGCGCCGTTAAATAATTCCTGAGGCCTGTATGTCATTTCTTCTATTGACTCTAATGACAGCAAAGACTTGAGTCAATGTGCAGATGTTGTGGGCAACTCCGAGCGCATAAAGAACGACTTTTCTGCATGTATATGACCGCGTTCCTGACCACCCCTGCATGTACCTGACCCTATTTTCGTCTATGGAGACGTCGAAATGCGCATTGTATGCTCGTCACCGTCGTCGTCACATCAGCAAATTGAATGGGTCTCTCTCTCTCCGAACACTTTGCGGCGAAGGTGGCGCCCAATGCCCGTACCTGCCCAAGCTTCGCGGAAAGATACAGAATCAGAAAAGACGGATACATAGCATGCAGACAAATTATTGGGGACAGTCTGGTACTTTTCCCCATTGCAACAACAATAGCCACTTCCTGTGTGTGTGTGTGTGTGGTCCACAGATCAGATATTAAACTGATCAGAAGAGATACTACACTTGATCTTAGCCAAAAGGCCGAGAAAGGTATATATATATATATATATATATTACTCCTGATGAGTCGGTGAAACTCCGACGAAACAGTTTGTCACAGCCCCTCGTTTGTTGTCCTCTTCTCCCTCTCTGCCTACGGTTTACCGTCGGCAGTTCTATTTGTGACGATATATATATATATATTTTCAATCAATGTGTGGCGTCTCTTTCGCTGGATTCCTTATGCAACAGGGGCGTGGTCCCACAAGCAAAGAGGATCGGATCGAATGCCTGAATCTGGATGAGGTTATGGAGAGGTGCAGGAAATCGAGATTGAACTGCTTTTCTGCATCTCTTCATAAAACACGTCCAGATTCAGGCATTCGATCCGATCGTCTTTGCTAGTGGGACATGGCCCCAGGAGGTGTTCTTCCACTGGTGCAGGCCTACCGTCTTGTTCACCCGAATAGAACGCTGGGTCATTATAGGTGTATGTGGACGGAAAAAGTGCACTAAATACAGGGTATTACAGGCTATAATGACCCGGCGTTGAAGGGCGTTCTACTCGGGTGAAGACGGTACGTGGACAGTGAGTACACACGTGTCCTGCAACGAATCAGTCACTAAAGCATGATGTGATGTGGACTTTTTTTTTTTTTTTTTTTTCCCTTTTATTAATTCCTCCCCCCAAGCGCCGCCACACTGTTGGGGCCCCGCCCCAAACTTTCTAATGAGTAAAGAATGTGGTCTTCTTGTTCCCATTACATTCTTTTTTTTTTTTTTTTTTTTTTTTCCCATTACATTCTCGCCTTGGGCACTGGGCTTGTTATTTTTATTATTAAAAAAAAGAGGTTGAAGAAAAAGAAAAAGTGGTCTTCTCTTAAAAAAAAAGAAAAAGAAAACCGATTGTATTTGTTTTCAATTTACAAGTGTATACTTGTCATCTGACTCTTTTTTTTTTTTTTAACAAACCGGGAACCGGGCCCGGCGTCCCTTATATTTCAAAAGCCAGGAAACGGGCCTGGCGTCCCTTACAAAAAGTAAGTGGTCCCATCAAAGGACTAGACATCACCGGTCTAACCCTAAGATCAGACCACAATGTTACTGCAAACCCTAATAACAAGGTTGTCGATCCTTAGTCATCCGGTATTATAACCAAACCCTGCGAACCCCTCTGCCTCCGGCGCGGCAGGGGATTGCAACCACAGGGCCCCAAATGCGGATGCAGTCCCCGCAAAACCCACCCACCTCCTCGCGATTCAGAGCGGATCGCACCACCGCAAAAACCCACTGTAGCCAATACCAAAAACATCAACGCCCTCCATGATGATGTCTCTGCAAACCGTCAGAGATACCCTCCCTCCCGCGCGGCAGGGGCAACAGGCCCCGCAAACCCACCCACCTCCTCGCGATATAGGGTATACTGACCCCCGAATCGACAGCCCGCGCTGCTTCGAGATTTGGGCGGCCGGCGCGGCGCGCAGTGCCCAAGTACAGGTGGTTTAATGGCAACATCCTCGTCGTCCAAGTTCAAATCAGCAAAAAAAACATCACTTTTTTTTCTTCTTTTTTTTTTAATCAAACAACTTTTTTTTTTTTTTTTTTTTTTTTTTTTTTTTTTTTTTTTTTTTTTTTAGGGATTAAAAAAAAAAAAAAAAAAAAAGCAGCCACGGCACGGCGCGGCACGACCGGGAAAAAAAAAAAAAAAAAAAGACATAAGTGCCTGTTTCGAACAGGCACCATGTGTATAATGCGGACCACCGTTATTATTGCCGTTTTGAACTACGGTCGGGACGGACCTGCGGACGACTGTTTTTTTTGCCCATTCAAAAGGTGAGTAGTGACCCACGAGCCGTTGCCCCTAAAATAAAATAGTAGGCTGGCGGGTGGTATCTCGCGGACCAGGGATCGAGCCCTGGCTGAGTCCGTAACACACTCAACGCCTCTCCCCGTTATGGTCGAGAGATCCTGAGACAGTGGCATTGATTGCTCCCAACTGGGAGGATTGACCACTGCTGTAACCTTGTTTTCTAAAATACCTATGGCTGCTATTGTCGTAGGGTGTTGTCAAAAACCGCAACCGGATTACCCCCCAAAAAAACAAAACAGGTAGAGGCTCGGGAGGAAACAAAGAGGCAGTGGGAGAGCCAGAAAGAGGGTCACAGCTGCAAGCTTTACTCCTTTTCAAAACTCAGGCATACAGCCAGAAAGAGGGCCACAACTGCAAGTTGTACGCCATTTCGAAACTCAGGCATCGAAACCCACCCCCATTTCAAAAAACTCCGAGCACTAAAAATGTTGCACACTGACGGTATTTAGAAGAATAAAAAAATCCCACATAAGAAGAATGAAGTAAGGGAGGGCGAGGGGGAGAAAAATAAAGTGACGGGACCAAGGGAAAATAAAAAAAAAGAAGCCAAATAAGTTCCAGTTTCCCTCCGGTCACAACTTCAACACATAAAACTCATTCACACATACAAGGTTCATTTCATGTGCCGGGTTATTGGGCTCAATGACCCGGAAGGAAGAATCAGCAGCATCTTGTATGCGGATTGTGCACCTTCCCATCTGGCTAACAGCATAACCCACAATGTCCTCATCAACTTTGCCACCACTATGCAGCTGTGCAAAATACCGAGAATCGGTGATGTCCGCCAATTCATCCATACCCTTCATCTTCTCTATCATAGCATGCCTGAACTCCTTGCATGTGACAACAGGGTGTGAACCATAAATAGCCCGGTGAAGACACTGCCAGAAACTGCAGGGTTCTCCTTCTTGTGCATCATACGGAATGAAGTACTCAGGGGGCTGCAGAAGCTCCAGATTCATAGATTCTGGAGCAACAGTAAATTCTTGCCCATACAAATCATTCCACTCATCCATGTTCAAAACCGAATCAAAGAGGACCTTCAACAGTGCATGCAGCTTGTCCAATGTGAATTCAGCCTTGGACACCAATCTGCACATATGGAATGAATTTGTGATGTCCTCCCTTGTTTTCGTTTTCACCCACTCACATACCCAGTCTGCCACCATTTGATAAGAAGGGCATCTTGGGTTGCCAGCCGTGGTCTGCAAACTTGTATCCTCAATTGCTGTCTGAATGTATGCTTCATATCTCCGAGAGTAGTGCTGCTGGAAGGATCTGTTGATGGCGACATCGAGCGGCTGGAGCAGGTTGGGCAAGCAGGGCGAGATGATGAACACATGAATATTCTGCCTTTGCAGTTTTGAATTCTCACGCAGTTTCAGGTGCGGGCCATAACTGTCAATGAGAAGCAGCACATGCTGCCTCTCAAATGCTGTTTGACGCCTGCACTCAATGACATTCTTGAGGTATGACGTGATGGTTTCGTCGCTCCACATTCCTAAATTGTTCACATCAACAAGTACTGATCAACTTATTGCTGGTTTGTTCCTCAACTTTGAAAACAAAATGTGAGGTTTAAAAAACATAACCTGCAAGAGAACTGTGAATGTTGCAGTGAATCTCTTGTGCGACGTGCCTCCCTTTCGCAGAAGCACTGTGCGGCTCCCACGCTTAGCAAGTGTCATTGCTGGCTCGGATTCGAAGTATCTGGGTACTTGGTCTATATTCAATATGTTTTCTGGTGCAATATGGTATTTGTCGATGACTTCATGCACTTGCTGAATGAAGGCTCGACAAGTATCAGCTGCATCATCAGGCAAGCACCTTGATGTTGTGTGCCTGCGAGACACCAAATCCTTGCGTTTTTTAAACGTGCACATCCACCCTCCAGATGCACTGAACTCTACGTTGTTGTCCACCCTCCCCGTCTCCTTCATTTGCTGAAAAATAAGTTGTGCCTTTGCTCTGATATACTGCTCTCTGACACACAGCCCTTTCTTGTTTTTGTCCACCACCCATGCCTCCAGTCCGTTCTCCAGTTTTTTGTGTACAACTTTCCTTCCTCCTCCACCCAGTCGTCGTTGTATGTGACTTGTCAGGTTCCTATCTGAGAGTGTCTCCTTCAGCTCTTTTGCACTCAATACCCACTGCTGCATTGTTGATTTGTTGATATTGTGCTTCTTTGCTACGCAATTCAGCCCTTTCCCTTTAACACCAGGCTCATAATCATGCAAAGCGTCAAACTTCATCTTGATGGTCTATGATTTCCTTTGCACCTTGTCCCTGCTGGCAGACGCTGCAGCAGCATCTTTGTTCGTATGGACCATGTTGTCAGATGAAACTTGCAACCTGGCCCTGGGGTCACACTGGCCCTGGCCCTGAGATCACACTGTCCCTAACCCTACGAACAAGGTTGTGGTATCACACTGGACCTGGTCTAAAAGGCCTCCCAAAAGGAAAAACAATGTCAATCTTCCTCCAGACTCCAAAGGACCAGCAACAGTATCTCTCAAGTAAGCTCTCTCTCGGTCGCAGCAAGGTACGTGTTCATACATGCACTGACCTCCGAGGCAAGGGGAAAAAAAAGAAAAAAAACTCACTATCGCCAGCAAGTAACTACAGACAGGAGCTTGAAGTGAGCTATGCCGTCCTTCCTGTCCCCCAATTGCCACCAGGTGAGTCCCACATCAGCTTCACTCTATGTCCTCCAAGTCCTGTTTTTTTTTTTTTTTTTTTTTTTTTTTTTTTTTTTTTTTT